AATATTTTTGTTTAAATAAAAATACATGTGTGTGTATTTGATTAAAAAGCACTTATACTAATTCCCAACGTTTCAATATATATTTTTCCATAATAATATCGTGAATTTTAATAGTAATAATTTCATATTTACAATTATTTCTATAACCTTTGTTAATAATTTGTTGTTTTCAATAAAAATAAAAGCAAAAGATGAAAAAGAATTTTAAACGATTCGAACAATCAATCTATCTGAAATCTTTCAATCGTGTCTGTTTTTGAACAAAGTAAAAAAAAAACGAAAAAAACTCAACGCAACAATAGAATATTGTCGACGTTCTTTGTGAAAAGGGCTGAAAAAAAAAAAGGGTTATGCGAATCCGATCTGAAAGATCCCCAAAGATTTGATTTTGTCGATATTACCATGTATGTATAAACACATGCATGCAAACATTATGCAGAATATATCGAAAAGGGAAAGGAAGCAATATATCGTCGTGAAAAATATTCCACAATCGTTTTCTATCATAGTTTAAAAAATATATCTTTTTATTTTTTAATAAATAATAATAAAAATCAATATTAATTCTCGTTCGATATAAAATATCAACGTTCAGATCATTATTATTAAATATGATTTTAATATGAATAATTAATGATTGAAATAATTTAATAATTATATTTTTCAAATCTTTTTATTCGTAGATTTTTAAACAAAATAATTTTAAGTTGAGTTGTTTCATTTTTAGTAATTTAACACATTGTTTATTTTTTCTAATTAATGAAATGAAAAAATGAAAGAAAATAATAAGGGAACTGTTTTTTATCATTCCCAGGGGAATTACCACAAATAACTTGTGGGAATAATCCAAAGTTAATAAATGCATCGGCAAAAGTGGATATCAGGGAAACGGAATACGCTGGAAAAGAAATTTATGCAAAAGAAAATATTGCTCCTGGAGAAGTTTTGCTTATTGAAGAACCATCGGTCTCTTTTCTTTTGCACAGATTTCATGGTACTCATTGCGCAGAGTGTTTTATAAGGTAAACGTTCTTTCAAACAAAACAAAACAAAAAAACAATCGTATAATTAAAACGAATTTAAAATGAATATTTTTACATATAATATTAATTCGCGGAATTAATATTTATCTCGGAATATTAAAAAGATAAATACATATATACATATATAGTTCCAAGTTTTTTTTTACTATCATATTTATTAATATTTTCAAGAGAATATTTTAATTTGTAATCGTAAAAATGACGTTAGTTTTAAAAATCAAATTGTATTAAAGATTGTGAAGAAATATCTATAATTTCATCCCCCGTAATTGGATGAACAAATAAAAATTAAACTAATTCATTTGAATATATTGAATATTTAACAATTATTTAACCAATTTAATGAAAACATACTTGGAACGTTATGTAAAAATAAAATTCGTATAATTTCTATTGTACCAAGTGTTCTTATAAATATTTTTCTATTTTGTATTTTCCATATTGGCGGAAATGGATTGCAAATTGTTCAGATTATACGCCCCGATTGGTTGCCCGAATTGTGTTAACGTAGCTTTTTGCAGCAGAAAATGCAGGGATATTGCACTTTCGACGTATCATAAATATGAATGCAAAATTCTGTTACTTATGTTCGGTAAGTCGTACGAATGTATTCTTTTTTCATTGTTTTTAATGCAATAATTATGTCACGTATGGGGGTTACTGAAGATTAGCCCTTTTTTTTTTTGTTAAACATAAGATTTGTTTCAACAAAAAAATCTTTTTTAATCACGTATAATTTTATATTTTATTTATTTTTATTTTTCTTGTATAATAAATCATTATATTTTTTAAAATATATTAAAATATATATTGTTGAATATATCAAATAAAATTCTATAAAATTTATCGTTCTCATCTCTCGGTATAATTATATTATAAAATCATTATTATATCTTATACGATATTATAAATAATTGTTATTGTTAATTATAACGTTATAACTTTAATTCGTAGGTTCAGGTATGAGTTCTTTGAGCTATTTAGCTTTCAGAGCGATCACTCAAGAAGGTTTGGATAATTGTTTGAAAATTTACGATGCTATAAATAAAAAAGTGAAAACCAATGAACAAAATGACGATATTAATAAGGAAAACGAAGAAAAATTAAGTAGATCGGCAAGAAGGAGGAGGAAACTTAAGAATAAATTGTTAACGAAAACTCAAACGAGTGGTACAAGTAATTTGAGTGATAATTTAGCATCGATATCTTTGAAGGAAAAAGAATCACCAATCGATACAAGATTGTATGAATTGGTTAATCATAATTCGGAAAGAAAGAGTAGTGATTTTTTTGAGAGAACATTGATGACAGCGTTTTTATTGAAATGTTTGCAAAGAATTCATTTCTTTAAAACAACGTCCCCCGATAATGGTGATTATTATTTAAAAAATGTTTATTTTTTTAATCGAATTATAATGCAGAAAACAAAAATACTTATTAATATTCTAAATGATCGTTGAATTAAAATTATATCTTATATTATAACGATTAGAGAAATAAATTATTCATTTTATTAATAATTATCTCGAATATACGTATATTTTTTAAATTATTATTAAAATATTATAAAAAAAAAGAAATTGAGAAAAATAACAAAATTATCGGACACGCGTTGATATATATATATATATATATTTGAAATATAATTATCTTTGAAAAAAAGGATTGAAAAAATATATTCTGCATAACTTATTGTTAACCGAATAAATAAATAAGAAAAAATAAAACACACACACACACACACAATGATTTCTTTGCTTTGATATTTCATTTTGCAGAGATTCCAAACGATGATGAAATAAAGGTTGCTTCGTTGATGTTGAAAAATTTGCAATCATTTCAATTCAATGCTCACATGATATTTGATGTAATATTACAAAGTAATAATATATTAGGAGATAAACATTCAGAAAATATAGCATTGGCAGTTTATCCAACGGTTTCTCGTTTCAATCACGATTGCGTTCTTTCGTCGGGAAGGTAAAAAAAAAAGAAGAAATAGAAAAAAAAAAACCACAAAAATCAATAAATAAATAATAAGAAAGAAAAATTTTTCTTTAAAACACATCACACAATTAAACATAAATAAATAACGAATTTAAAATTGCCAATAATAGATATCACGTTGGGAAAAAAGTAGTGATACGTGCACTTAAAACCTTTCAACCTGGTGAATCCATTCCGGAAAATTATGGTCCTAAAATTGATGAAAATAATTCTATGGAACGTCAAATATTACTAATGGGTAGATATTGGTTTAAATGTATGTGCAAAGCGTGCGTGGAAAAATGGCCAACTGCCGATAATTTAACCAACAACATGGCAAAATTAAAGTAAGACACTATTTAATAGAAAACAAAAAATATTTCAACGATGATGGTGATTAAACAAATTATTTATATAATCATTTTTTTTGTTTCTGTTTTTTCTCTTATATTACAGATGTCCTACCAAGGGATGTTACAAATTATATAAAATCGATCAAATAACGGATAAAACGGTATTCTGTAATATGTGCCGAAAAAAAGTCGACATGTTTGCAGTTTTGAATGTGTTAAATGCATGCGAGGTTAAGTATAAAAAGGCATTTCAATTAATTGAAAAAAACGAGATATTAAAACCGATAAAATATCTATCAGAAGCTTTAAACGAATTTTATAAGATTGCTGTACCACCTCACAATCTCACCCACAAATCGCAAATGATGTTGAATTATTTGTACTCATATTTCGGTAATACTTATAAAATTCCAATAATTGAACTAGATACATTTCATTCGGATTATTTTAATACGAAACGTAAATCAAGTATCCAAATGAGCGTTTAATTGACTTTTTTTTCTCTAGTCATTTTTTTCACCGTTTATTTCAAAAAAAAAAAGTAACATTATTTATTTAATATTAAAGAAATTTGTTATATTTTATTAGACGCGAACATAATGCAATTCTAGATTATTATTGGGACCTAGAGGAATGTTAAAATATAATTTATACAAAAAACTATTAATATAAAATATATATTAAAACGTTCTCGATGTATACGTTAAATGATTGTTAATTAATCGTCAAAAATATGTATATATTGTAATTTAAAAATACGGTGTACGAGTTCGTAGCATATGTACTCTTCTTTAATTGATTTATTACGTAATGAAAATACATCAATTTTTCCACAGGCTATTATTGTATTATTATTTCAGTAAGTATAATATAAACATTTAATTAACAAACAAAAACTTTCAGAGATGACAACGTGTCAGTTTATCTTTTGATTTCGAAGAGGAAGGTGCACCGAATAGATACTCCATATTTTTATACAACATTTTTGTTCGATTAATTAACAATTATTTAAATAATCTTATAGAAATTTATTAATATTCAGGATCTTTTTAATTAAAAATATACATTATTTGTTTTAACGTTCCTCTGGCAAAATCATGACCGTTGTGTATTATTCTTTACGATATTTAAATTGATACTCACTGTTATATATTTTATGGTTTCATAAAAAAAAAGTATATAAAAAACGATACCACGTACGTGTATTTGACAGAACTGATGAAAACGCCAAAGAAATTTTTTTTTTTTTTAAAAGTATAAAGTATTAAACGCGCGTAGAGGAAGGAAACAAAATTTTATTTTTGTGTCAGGAGGGTGCACGGAAATATTACTTTATACGTGACACTTTTTTTATATTTTCTTTTTATATTACTATTTTATTTTATTTTATTTTATTTTAAATATTTCCGAACAAATTCTTATACTTTTAACGCCATATCTGTTTTCGTTATGGTTTCAACAATTTGTTTTTATTTCTATATGGGTTTCATTTTTCAAACTCGTTCAGATAATTTAATTTCCATTAAACAAAGATTTTTTTTTATAATTATATATATATAATTACATAAGATTAGTAAAAAATTAATTTTTCTTTTTTCTTTTTCGGTGTCACGTATCGAGTTCTTCATTTCATGCAGAATAATTGAAAAATGTAAATTCGTATTTTTTACAAATTCTTTAGGAAAAAGTATATTTCAAATTTGAACAGACTTTTTATATATATATATATATATATATATGTTACGGTTAACATAAATAATATGTAGAATTATTTTTAGAGAAAAGAAAAGAAAAAATAGAAAATAACACATTGATTGTAATTATTCATATTTATATTATGTCCACGTTTAACTAACATTTTAATTATCGCAAACAATATCTGAAATAAAAATTAACTAATTATGTATTATTATATTTCGTTACTACACAAAACTGCGAATTGAAATAAAATGAAAAAAAAAGAACTCCCCACCCCTGTAATAATTACAATAA